AATCTGTGCTTTAGATATCTGGGTATATAGAAAGTGGGAATGTGCGCTCTCAGTACTGATCTTACAGATAGTATCATATAACTGTATATATAAACTAATATCAAACTTCAGCATAAGTTTAGGTCAACAATAACCAGTATATTTTGTCCCTTGTAAAAACAAAGTTCCCTGGGCACATTCCTGTGATGTGTAGACTTTGTCTTCTGCTGTCTAGCTAAATTTATTTACAGACAGGTTTTACCTAATTATTTTCTTAGTCCTTTCATAAATCATGTCTTCACTCAGCTGTTGATTTTAGAAGGTGAATAAAATATTTCAGTTTTAGCCGATAGAGCCAGATCTCCATTTCAAGCTACTATTCCTTTCTGCATCTTTCTCCTGACAAACAGCTATCCTCCAGATGGTGTCTTGGTAGCACTTTATGGAGTAGTCTATTCTGGATGAGACCGAAGAGACCTCTGTAGGATAACTTGATAGGAATAGGAACACTAGAAGAAAGGATTCATGTAGTCAGGTGTTTCACTACTCTGAACACCCAGATGTACAGGTGATCAAGTCCTGCTTTGCATCTTCCGTGCAATTTAGATAGCACTTTAATCATTGTCATGGTTACAGGGGCTGGGACCAGTTTATCCTTATGTGGGTAGAACCAAAAACTGTGTATTCTATACCCTCTATGTCATTGCTGATGGTCTGTTAACAAAACCATGGGTAGCAGCTGCCCAGGACAGACCTCACACCCCAGGCTACAACAGATAAGGAAGGAGGTTCGGGGAGATGTTAACACCTTCCCACCCAGCAGGAGGAGTCCTCCCTGTTCATGGGCCCATCCATGCCTTGCCCCATGACTCATACAGAGCTCCCCCCAGGAGCTATTTCTGTTTAATGGACCATCAAGGACCCACTGCATGACTCACAGAATGATATCAACCCATTGTGAGATGCGCCACCCTGGATATAAACTGGGGTTCAGGACAGCACAGGGGGCCCTTACCCACTGGATTTCCAGAGGACAAGAGCTACCAGATCTTTTCTACAAGACCACTGTTTCATCTGGACTGCTACCACCACCCTAACTACAGAGTATCAGGTTGTATTCTGACTCTGTCTGTGGTTTTCCTTTGTATTATTGCTTTTATTTTATTTTTTCCCTATTAAATTGTATTTCTGACTTGGAGTCTCTCACTGGTTTGTTTTCAAACCATCACAATCATGCAGATTATTTTTGTCCTTGTGGCTGTGCCTGCATTAGAGAGCAGAGCAGCTCAACACAATGGTTTTACAGAGTATTGATTGTGCTTATGATGCAGTGCCCACACCACATGAGGTGGCAGGAGCAAAAAAAAGTGTTTCATTAGCACTCTGAAATTTATCACTGCTTGTGAAAGTAATTTGCACATGTAAAGGTGATCATATACTCTATCATGGTTATTCAGGTCAAAGCCTGAACTGTCCCACAGGAGCAAGAGCAGGCTTTTAATTTGAGAGGAAGTCCTTATTGTGCTTTGAGGAGAGAGATAAATGTTTTAATGTGATTCAGGTTTGAGTAAGGTGTGAAGGTTGAGGTTTTAGTACTGCTAATGGCCAAGGGCTGTCAGTTATCTTACAGTGCACACTACCATTAAACAAGTATGCAAAGAAGCTCCCTAAGCTATTGATACTAGTTCCCTACTCCAAGCATATTCCAGGTCACTGACAGCAGAAATGGTCAGCATGCATTCTTGCCACAGCTAAAATTCACCTAACTATACAATACTGCATACAGCTTAGCTATTAATACTTGTTTTTTATCAGAGAGGCATTTCTTCTAATCATAATGCTCCCAAAAAATACAAAGTTCTGGGCTCAGTCTTTTACCCAGGTCATTGCTCTACAAAAGTAAACATTTTCCCATTGCCAGCTGATGAAATTTCAGAGATTTCTTCAGAAATTTCAACACAACTGCATTTGAATTGAGTAAGCTTTTTTCCCCCCCTAGACTTGAATTGCCCAACTAAAAACACCATAAAATATTTGCTCTCAGATTCCACATAAGGCATTTGGAGAGTTCTTCTGGAGACTTGGAGCTCTTTGGAAGCCAAGCATTCCACAATGGTAAGCCAAAGGTTTAGATTTCTGTTAAAAAATGAGGATACGGGTAGCTACTTGCTTTAAAACTGCAAAAGAAAGATATTTAAGAGAATCACCTGGAAACGTATTGTAAAAAGTGGATTTAGTCCCTTAAAAAACTGCAAGATGTAATGAAAGTAAGATGCTTTTGTGAAGGTTACTGTGGATTTTGTTCTTTGTTGTGTAATTCTTTGAAAGATAGTATACACATATCTCTTGGTCTTCCACTTGCTGTTATCCTTTTCTCAGAAATGTTTGTGAAAATATTAAGAACTTTGTAAACATTTAGGACCCAGTTTATGACAGTTTAAAATAAGGTCCCTTTACAATGAAAGTGTAATACACAGTGAATTTTGTCTGCGTTTCTCTTTTCATCTACCAAGTTGTGTCCTGTTTCAGCCTTCAAGCCTCCAAATGTGTTTGCAGAATCTGAATCAACAGCTAGGTAGTGCTAAATAGATAGACAAGGCACTGTGGCCTAGTTTTCCTCTAATTTATGCTTACATAATCCCCAAAGCTACAGACATCAACTACTACCTTGAATGGGAACCTCGGAGGGTTTTACAGGAGAGGTAGTCATTTCTGTGATATGTGTAGATTCATAAACAGATAAACTATTATTAGAGGATATAATTCTCTTCCTAAGCTTTCCTGAGGGCTTGTCTATACTCAGACTAGACTTAGTTGAACGAAATGATCCGGTGTCTCACGCTACAGTAATTCACCCACTTTCAAAGGCCATTAAATCCAGTTTGGAAGATTCTGTTCTGGAAGATGGCTGGTGGAATCCCCTTTTTCAAGAAAGCAAACAAGAAAAAAAAAAAAAATCCTTGAAATGCCTTTCTCACAGACTCTCACAGACTGCCCAGAACAAGACAGCTCTGATGTGAGCCCTTGGCATCAGTATAACAATACTAATCTCTGCCATTTCTGGTAAAGGATACTGTTTCTGCTAGTGCTTGTTCGATACCCTCTGTGCTCAGCCTGCTTGCACATGGGTCCTTTACTTCTACCTGTTACTTAGCTGACGTATTCTTTGGTTCCAGCACAAGGCCAGTTCAGGCAGCATTTGGACACCACAGACTTCCCCTTCTGTTTCTGTTTAGATTCGGTGGAAAGTCCAGAACATTGACCTTTAGAAAGAGGAGCGTGCCCAAATTCATCTGACTGTCATTTCTATGAATAGGAAGATGAGGACAAATATTGGAGCAAACAAAGGATAAAACATTCACAGAAGACAGTCCAGCAGAGTGAAAGAAGGATTTTAGTCTTTTCTATGAGAGTGACAGCAGTAAGACCTCTTATAGAACTAAACCGTGCTGCTGCAGACACCTGAACAAGTTTGGAGGAAAGTCACCACCAGACTCTAGATGAATGATTATTATACAGCAAGCGGTATCCCAAGCATGTTGAGATCCTCTGTGAAAAGCTGGTTCCCTGAGCTCCCAAAGCTCCAGATAGCTGCATAGCACAGATAACCCCACAGATACATGCCAACTGCACATGGAAGCTCAGCAGAGACAAGCTGCAATGTTGCATTCTACAACTTCACAGAACAGGAGTTGCTTAGACAATTTTCCTTTAGCCAGGCATCACAGAGCAGCACAGTTTGAGTTTCAGTCTTGCTTCTTAACTTCTCTCATTCTGGCTACAGTGCTCAGCTTGGCAACTGACTCTATACTACCCCAATGCCGCAAGAACTCCAAATCACAAAACTACTATGAAAATTAAGCATTATAACCTTCCCAGACCATATCATAGAACCTCCTTCTCCCTTTCACTACACCAGGAATGTCCCTCAGCCCTGTAAGAAAGCAGCACACCAATGATGAAAATAGCAAGCTTTTCCACAGCAGACAGAGGAGATTCCCTTGGCTCACCATCCTCTCACTGCTATTTTAAACCCCAGTTTCAAGCAGCAACAGCCTCTGGAGTTCAGAACAGTAATTTTGAAAGATCTGGGCATATTACAATCCTTTCATGTTAATCTGCAAGTGCTATGAAGAAAATTTGAATAATCTCCTCCACTCCTTCTCAGTCTCTGGCCGTTGCTAAACTTCAGCCTTTGGTTATTCAGTTTGAGTCATCCATTGCTTTCTCACACTTCTCCAGTCCCTCTATCCCTGTGTAAGCACCAGCACAAAGTTTTGCAGGCTTTTTCAAAAAGTCCTGGTTGTTCAACAGGTCCCAGCATACACTTTTGAAGAGCTCTTACAGACGTTTAGCTGTTGCCACCACTAGGCAGAAGGAAGGGTGTACTGTGACACAGCCAGACCTGTGTGTGCACAGATTGACAAGATGTCTCACGTGCTGCTAAGCAGAATGTACAGAACTGGAATTTTGCCCTGAGACACTAATTTGTGTCTCTCTTCTCTACTCAGTCACCTATTTAAAAAACTTAGTGGAATATAATTAGGTCTGAGATCTCCACTCCACTGCCAAATTTTGAGAAATTGTTGTACACAAAAGTGGAACAACAGCATGCTATACAGATAGTGATTTGCTGGAGAAATAGCTATATCTGACCCAAAGTCAATAAATAAAGCACTAATAAGGGTCTGACAGGACTTTCAATATATGTATAGTATGTATAATACTATTGAAGCTTTTTCTGATTTCTAGAGTTTGGACTTTGTCAGGTAGCAATACTACTGACACATTAATGTAATATCATTTTGTCTCTTCCCACCTCAAGGAAAAGGCAAATCAATGCAATCAAATATCTGGAGTGCCCTTTTCCAACATTTTCATGTATGCATAAGGTTATTTCTAATTTTTGCTTCAGGTTCAGTGACAGCTTTCAATACCAAAGATAATCAAAGTGGAATTAAATTCATGCCATGGGTTCTGTGTCTCTTTTACAGAAGAGCTTTCTGGCTTTCCTTGCTGCAATGAGCATCATGGTGACGATGGGTGATGCATACTGCTTTACTAAGCTTAACAAGCCAGGGGAAGCCAACAAAGGTAAGACCAGGGAAAATTCTCTCACCAGATTGTTTTGTGGTAGCTTGGCTCTTTGTGGATCTGCCAGGAGTAGCTCAAAATACAAGGGAGGGGGAAGATGTCAGAAATACATGAATAGGAGGTTCCAGCACCAAGCTGCGAAAAGTAGGGGAAAAAAAATTCTTCCCCTGGACTAGGTATGGTTGCAGCAATATTGTTGCTGGTGGTAGGTTGCTATTGCTGTTCTGGCACATGGAGCTGATGCAGGAGTTGAGAGCAGTTCCCAGTAGAGTATGGTGCCAGGGGCCAGACGTGGCTGGTTGCTTTTTCATCCCAGATCTGTCACACTGAAACTGTCTCTAACAAGTAAAGAAGAAACAAATTCAGGCTCTCAAAACAGTCTGGGTAATAACCTGGAGAACAAAATTATTTCTACTTTACTATTGCCAAGAAAAATCTTTTCAGAAAACTTGCAATAAATTGGAAAATTTTTAGCCTTTATTTGAAAGTTTAAAGAACGTTTTGTTTTGCCACTATCTTATGCAGGCTGTATGCTGGATGGAAAACTATACCCCTTTGGAGAGATTGCAAGGACAGATAATTGTTTCAGATGCAGCTGCAACAAACATTCAATGGGATGCTGCTCACTGTAAGTTTGAACTTGTTGGTATCATCATTGCCTATAGGCAGACCATAGCTTTCCATTTGCTGGGGATAAATGAGTTTCTAAGGGCACATCAGAGCCTTTCCTCACCAATGTCACAGGGCTAGGGCAAGCCACATATCGTACGTGACCATTTGGATCCTTGGCTGTATTTACCTTGGTTCATTTCCTGCTGATGGGGAGTGGACACAGGCCCTTCCAGACACAGCCAGCTGGTGTCTGCCTTTAATTTTGAGAAACTTGTGAACACCCTCTTACACTGCAGTTAAGCCTTTCTTTAGCAGGGAGAGTAGAGATAGGAAGGAATTAATTCCACAAGGGACTTAAGTGAAGCTCCTCTAAAGGGTTTTTGATGATCTGAATCACTTTCTGAGGGTGCTTTTCTCCAGGGAATATGCTGACCTTAAGGTGACAAGACTCTGCTCTAAAGTACCTATTTCCAACATCCTCCTTTCCTCTTACATTACCATCTCAAGGGTCAAAAAGGCTTGATTATGATCATTGTCAATATAAATATATGTATTTTCAATATTATAACTCAATATCAGAATTATATTAATTCAATTATATATTATGAGTATTATACTTCAAGTAATAATTCACTTAATATGAAGTAAGATATGAATATAAGTATTATGATCATTGCCTTTGCTCGGGTGACAATCTCTCTCGAAACATCTACCACTGGCAATAATGAAAAAAGTAATGGAAAAAAGATACCAGGATCACGTTTATGTCACCCTGTAGAGTGCTGTGCTACAAATCCCTGTGCTAGTGCTGAGTATACTGGTACATTTACACAGTGCAGTGCAGCAAGGCATCATTTGAGGCCCTGGAAGTTGTAGCTGCATGGCATTCAAGCCAGCCAGGCTGGTCTTAGCCATAATTTGAGGGACATCTTACTCAGCATTAGTTTGGGACATAATCACTGAACCACTGAAGTACTGAATCTTATATTGTTTTCGATCTAACATTTGTTTTCTCTTTGCCAATGACAGCTTTCATACTCCTGTTAGTTATGACAAGGAGAACTGTAAAGTTGTTTTCAACAAGGAAAAATGTGACTATGATGTGGTGCAGAAGAGTGACCCCTCAAAGGAGTGTTTTGTTTATTCCCGTGTGGGGTAATAACCTACCTGCTCTGAACCTCTCTGCACTGTGGAATTCCTCCCCTTCTTAGAGATGCTTTGCAATCACAGAGATCAAAGATGTGGGAGATCTTATAAGAGAGAATACTTCAGCAGCTCACTTTTAATCTCTTCGTTGTTCTAATTCAGTATACAAGATTCAAGATTCTTGGTCTCATTTCTCTCATTACTTGCACTGTATCACTGAGGTTTTCTGAATACAATAAATCCAGGTGAAACATCCATAAATGCTTCATAATGATGATTCTTTTTATGTAATAACATCGGGTAACATCACCTTCTTTGAGAAAGGGCTGCATTTGCCAACATGCCCTGCACTAATACCCTGGCACAAGCTGTTCTCACACTTTGCATTTTCTGTTCTTGCCAAGGGTTACAGCAGACCTCTTACCTCACCAGGTGTCTACATATGTATAGATATATGTATAATAAATATATAGGGTATAAGTCCATTGTAATTTGGAAGGGATGCACTCTTTGGGAAATGCTATACAATGGCTTTCACTCAGGGCACACTTGAACTGCTACAGAAATCTGGGCAAAACCCATGCTACTAGCACCTGTGAACTCTGAAAATAAAGGTGAGGATGGAAGATCATATTTTTTTTTTCTCCTCCACTTTTTTCCCCACTTCTTTTCAACAAAGTCATCACCGAATAGCAGTGGCTGTTCCTCCCCATTGCCCACTCTGACCTGCAACTGGGTCTCCTCCTCCAGACCCCAGTCCTGAAAGTCTGCACACACTGTGCTGCACTAGTGGCTCTTACCCACAGTGCAAAAGAGACCTAGATCAGCCCCTGGAGACATGCTTCCTCATGGCAGTAAAGCCTGAGGTACCTATGAAAGGCAGATGCCTTCTGTCTCTTTAGTGTAAAAATTCCCCACATTCCCTAGGGAGAGAAGTCCAGCCAGTGTTTGGCTTCAGAACAATCTTCCACTTGGCAATTGGCAATAACCAAAATCTGCCCACATACCAGGCAACAATACTCTAATAAACACTGCCTCTACATGTCTTCTTTGCTCCAGAATTAAACATTTAAAAACCACAATGATCTGCAGTTAGCTGCTGGACAGACTGAAAAGAAATGCACCTCCCAGGACAAGAGGACTGTTTAATGATGCTCCAGAATCACTACAAGTCTGTTGTCTTGTAAAAGTATGAGGTTACACACAGTTGAGCATTCTTAGGGTAGGGATCCCCACTTGGCCCCCCCCAAAAAAAAAGTTTTCAGCCTGTATCTATTCTGCAGGGGTACTTGCTTCTGAGGCCAACACATCTCAGGCTCTGTGAGCCATCGGTAAAATCAGAAAGATTTGAACATGGTATGTTTTCTCTGGCTTTGTTTTTTGGTAACTTGCCTATGAGTGTTGTTTTTCTTATGGCTTCACTTAAGTTACCTACTTTTGGGGAAAAAAATTCAAGTATTTTGCAAGCACTGGTATTGCATAATTTGCCTTTTAAAGTTCTCTGCATCATGGGCTGGATATCAGTCAATAACTCTGTATTTCTGTATAATTGGTTCCTGCAAGGCTGAAAAAATATGGGGGCCAGAATTAGAATGAATTTAACTTTTTTTCAGTATAAACACTTGCACACGCCTTTTAAAAATCTGACTTTTTTTCACTGATTTAATCATGTCATTCATCTAAACAGCAGCATGGGGAAATTAATGTTCTCCCATTGCTTAAGGTCCTAAGGTAAGTTTTCTCCAGTTTTTGTATCCTACAGGAGAGGAACTGTTTTAAAACAAGTCCTGAATGACTTTTCCCCTTTTCTACCAGCTCACGTCAAAACTACACAGAACACAGCCTCAACTGGTACCTGAAGGAATGTTCTCACTTACAAAACAAACGGCTGTAGCTTCTCAGGGGAACTAAGAAATATTTTGAGCATGGAGCTCCAAAGACTTCCTACCTGAATAGCTTACAGAACTGTTTCTTGAGGAAAAATAGGTTTTCATAGACACATTTTTGTTAAATCCTAGTTTTAAAAATGATCATTTT